CTGCTCCATCGGGCTCTGGTCGAGGAAAGAGATGGTCGAATAGGAGTGGTCGTGGAGTCGACCACTTTGTACCTTAGGGACATCTCAGCTTCCACTCCAGACTTGGTCGAACATCGGAATATATAAAGGAATCTCCAACACGTGGAAAGAGAACACGCGGCGCACAACGAGTGGTCCACGGCGATAACGGTCTCTAACATTCTCTGACACATGATGACGCATTTCTGACACCAAAATAGTCGAGGCAGACGATTGTACGGACGAGCAGAGAGGAAAAGAGCTCGACTCGCTAGAGCAGCGCGTGACAACAGGTAGCTTGTCCCTATAAATAGGGACGAGAACTCTCATTTTACACACAATCTCTTTATACACTTACATATTTTCACATATACTCATCTTCTCAAGACTGACTTGAGCGTTGAAGGCTCTTCACCGAAAAAACCCCCGGTGTGAGAGTTATGTGCAGGTTCGGTGTTCTAGCAGCAAGGAAGATGATCTTGGAGCGGTTTCCAGCTGGTCAAACGTTTACACTTGCATTAGGTTGCAATTTGTGTCACTATGGAGACATTATCGCAGAATTGATTAATTATTTTTTAGGAGTCATGTCTTAAAAATAATACAAATTGCAACATAAACGTATTATTTTTTATAAGTAATGTTCCAAAAATTATACAAATTACAATATAACGTATTATTATTGATAAAAGAAAAATTAATGTAATAAAAAAGGAATTTATACGAGTAAACGGACTTAAGTTGATTTTTTTCCCATTAAGTAAACATGGCGTGCAACATAAGTAATGTATCATTGGCATGCACCATACAAGTGGCTTTCCACTCTGCACAATACTCACTCACCATAAACTATGTCGTATGATCGATCGTTCGTCCCCATGATTAAGACTAAATCCTTTTGACTTTTGATTGATAACTCGAATATAAATTACTCCTTAATTATCCTTCTCATTATTGGCTGTATATCTCAAACCCATCGACATTCTTCAATTTAATATATCCAAATTTCACATCAACCTTTCGTGACAATATTAATATTGCTTTTGAATATAATGCCCAAATGTCTAACCACGAACCAACACGACGACCAAATCAATCCCCCCACCCTTTAGCCACTAGCCGATAATACCATTAGACTTTCTCACAAATTTAACTTATTAAGAATGTAACCAAAATAACAACCAACATTTTGTTTAAAAAAAAAATAAAAATGTCAACCACGCGTTTTGTCAATCAACACTGACAATAATTTAAACTAAAACAAAGAAACCACGCTCGTCACCTCCCTATAAATTCAGCGCCAAAGCTGCCTTATTTCTCAATCAACTTCACCTCAAACCAAATTGTCCAAGTACGTACTTAGTCTTAGCATGGCCACCGAAAAGCCCATCAACTTTGTATTCACCCTAACCACACTCACAGTACTACTCATCCTCTCCCTGTCGATAATCCCATCCCGAGCCCAGCTGTCCCCGACTTTCTATGCCCGCACATGTCCCAATGTGCTGCGTACAATCCGTGGTTCCATCTGGAGGGCCGTGGCTCGTGAGCGCCGCATGGCGGCCTCACTCATCCGCCTCCACTTTCACGACTGCTTCGTGCAGGGCTGTGATGGTTCCGTGTTGCTGGATGATGGGCCCACGATCCAGAGCGAGAAGTCGGCTGTCCCTAACCTCAACTCCGCAAGAGGGTTTGATGTGATTGAGGCCGCCAAGAGAGATGTCGAGCGAACGTGCCCAGGTGTCGTCTCGTGTGCCGACATTCTGGCTGTGGCCGCGCGTGATGCCTCTGTGGCAGTAAGTATATGAAATATTTATGCAATGACTTGTCATTTAAAAGTACTAAATATTATAATTATTATTATGTTTAGGTGGGTGGGCCGTCATGGAATGTGAAGCTCGGGAGAAGGGACTCTACCACAGCTAACCGTGATGCGGCGAACCGTGAACTACCGAGCCCATTTTCCAGCCTTCAAGGCCTAATCACTTCTTTTTCCGACAAGGGCCTCAGTGAAAGAGATATGGTCGCCCTCTCTGGTATGTATTTGACTTTATTTTCATATTACATTGAACATTCAAATATTGATTAAAAATGCATCATAAATTTATATGTGGTTGCATGCACGTACGCCCGCAGGATCACACACGATCGGGCAGGCCCAGTGCTTCCTGTTCCGCAGCAGGATCTACAGCAACGGCACGGACGTCGATCCACTCTTTGCCCGTCTGAGGAGTCGGACGTGCCCTCAGACGGGTGGGGACAGCAACCTTTCCCCGCTCGACTTCGTAACTCCCAACAGGCTCGACAACAACTACTTTACGAACCTTCGTCAAAGGAGGGGTCTCCTTCAGTCGGACCAAGTCCTTTTTAGCGGGGGCTCCACAGACAGTCTCGTCTTCAACTACAGCAGAAATCCCCACCTGTTCGCCTCCGATTTCGCTAATGCCATGCTCAAGATGTCCGAGATTCAGCCCTTGCTCGGGTCCAATGGGATCATAAGGAGGGTTTGTAGCGCCACTAACTAAGTGCGCGGTTAAGAAATGTTTGCAAACACTTCAAAAAAAGAAATAACTAAAAGAGATACTTTTCCTAGTGTCTGCGAATACTCTGTAATTGCGGCTGCGAGGGTTATATATGCAAAGAGGTTATTTTACGTAATTGTATTGATTAATGAAGCATATGAATATGCTATTCTATAATCTGTAACCTTTAATTGTGAACTTGCAGATCCGTCTTAAGATTTTCCCATAAAATACTTGTGGTGTATTCCTTTTTTTTTTTTTTTT